GAAGATGCTGTCCCTCCCATGACTTGGTCCAAGCTACATGACACCCCTATTACCCATCACGTGTGTTAGAAGAATCTCAGTCTCAAAAAGAAAAGACTTGGGACAATACTCTCACTCAGTCGCAACAGACACAAGACCCTTTAGGGATTCATTTAGGAAGGAAAGATGTTGCTCTCCTGGTAGGTCTGTGAGCGAGTCTTATCTGTGTTGGATAATACTTGTCACGATTATAGTCCCCCCTCCTTAAGGGTGCTCCAGCCCTTTCACTTTAGACTTTATTCTGTGCACCTGATCCCTTTTTCCCAGCCCACCTTAAAAGCCAGGTGCTGACGCTCATCCTGGCTCTGCATCTGGTTTCCGCACCGTGCGAATCCGGGACCTGGAAGCGCCTGGTCCCGTTAAGGTTTTAATCTCTGTTCCCGTTCCCTGTCCGCCGGTTCCGACCCGGTTCATCGTTTTAATTCCTTGTTTGGATGGATCACCTGGTAATGGACTTATTCTTGTGTTTTGGATTCCCTCTATGGATTACTTCTGGATTGTTTGCCTCGGCCACACCTCCCCCGTGCACCAGCGCACTTTGGACACGCCCCCCTGTTTTCAGCCCCGTATTCCTGCATGACGTTTTCCTAGTGTTTCCCCACTTCTTCGGATTGTGTCGTCCGCATAGGGTCGGGAAAGAACTGTTCGTTACAATACTTACTGCACAAGGAGCAAGAAAGAATATCTGCGCTCTAGCTTTCGGTGGACAGAAGAACATTGTTTCCCAGAAATCTTATTTAATAATAAGAAACAGAAAATGTGCAGTCTTTCTTCACCATGAAAGAACTGTATAGTCCAACATTCTTTATTCCCTTTGCTATTGTTCACTCTGTCTGTAAAAGGTAACAATGGATCTTCTATACCACACACCCAGAGTCGTGACACTGCTTCACTGGAGCGTCTGGGAGCTGTAGAGGAAGCTCATTGCTCGGCTCAAGCCCCTCTGTGTCGATGTGTGAGGTGTCGTGTGGGAGTAAAGCATGCGAGATCTGGCAGGAAACAACTCCAGCTTCTCAGGAGCCACCTGCTGCAGAGAGGCTGTGGGCCTGAAGACACTGTAGAGAGAGACTGGGCCGGGTCTATAGTCTTTTAGGTTAGACTGCAGCATGAGTTAGGACTGGGCAGCCTGGGAACATGTTAAGCCGGGGTTAGTGTTAAGGGATCAGGTGTTTTGTGTAGGGTTGGGCATAATGAAAATATAATGAATAAAGGACAGGTGTATCCGCATTATAAATGAATTATCTGTAGCTTTAAAAGCACTAAAACGTATGTTTTCCAGGTTAATTTCTGAACTAACACAGTTAATCTATTGGCTGATACTTTTATCTGAAACAACTTACATTACCAAACCTCTTCAGCTGAGGAGCCCTGCTCAAGGGTGCGACAGCATTTGAAGCCACAGCCTCCCAGCTACAAATCCAGGACCCTGCTTTTCCACGCCACTGCTCACTTTCGGCACTGACTCGCACTGCGCCGGGCTGAGTGGTAGTTCTGCTGCCTATCTGCCTGTGGAAGCTGATCAAGTTGCAGCTCACGATGCCTGTGAAGTAAAGGATGGCCTATGCCAGTACAAAGTGGAGACGCAGAAGTGAGGCTTTCTCTCCTCGATTCCTCTGTATCCACACAGGTCCTCAAGCTTACATACCAGTGCATGTGTGTTCCAACATTCTGCATCTCCCTTTATAGTCCCGATCTATTAGGTTGGCATGATGAACTCCCCTATATAAATACCTGATACAATTTCTTCACCACGGTTGTTTTAGGGCAACAAAAGCGCCCTTTAATGTTGATTAAAACACCCACCTGGCTGTTAGGACCCACCTGCTGTACAGCTGCCAGCTAACTGTGTGTGGGGAAGGGCCCGATACCTCATAGTCACTGAGCCTTCCAGCTTCTGCTCGCTGTTCTTTGATTACCAGATAGATGCAAATGTAATGAGCTACCCTGTCTGGAGATGCTAGACTGTGACCTTGTGGAACCACTGGGACTGTACATCGCTGATCCATGTGGATGAGCACAGCAACAGGAAGGCAGGGAGAGAACCACCAGCCTTGCTCCGTGCCCTCGTGCCCTCAAGCAGCAAACAGCCCCAGGGAAAGGAGGGTAGTGGGCTTTCATGCTCCTGAGCCGCCCACTGCGTGCTCTTCGGCTCCTGCTCCCAGTAGGCAGAGCAAATTCAATCAGAACCCCCTGCTTCCCATTGTACAGCTCATGGCTGATGGAAGCCGTCTCTATTACAGGTTCATTTTTATCGCTCCAGTTCACTAATTGGGTTTTGCTCCTTAATGGCCCCACATCTGGTAGCTCTCCCCTAGTGACACCTATTTGCTCTCGACTGGAAACAAAGATAAAAAAAATCATCAACGGTACTCACAGACAGCCCGTGAGATGGTAGCACGATCCTTGGTTTATTTATTCTGATTTATGTTTCTTTACCCCCCCCCCCCGAGTGAAAGGCGTACAAACGCGCAGGAGCTAAATGAGTAACTGGCAAGCGATTAAGAGTCTGGGTTTGGATCAATCGGGTTTTGCTTTCTGTCACATCGTGAAAGTATGCATGAAGTTTAAAGGCTTTTATGAGTTTTAAGTCTGTTGCAAGGAACAGCTGGAAAAGATGGGGAAAAAAGTTACCTCCTTATGACTGCGATCAGTGGGGTTTTAACTAACTTGGCTTAATTAGGGTGAAATACCATGTTGCTGAACTGGCCAGGGGTGCCCCAGACTTGACATCCATATCCTAGGACCTAGAAAGAGAGTGTAAAGTGTAAATGATACTGATTATTCAGTGTAAAGGATTATTGCTTCTCCAGTAAGTTTGTCTCCGAGTCAGAGGTCTGTGATCAGCCCAGAGAAGATTGTCTTCAAGGAACAGAGAGGAGGAACATCAGGACTAGCCAGGTTCTGGTATCTGAACCCACTGGAAACTGTGTTGCACAGAGACGTCCGAGGACGGCCACACTACCTCAAAAGCAGGACAGAACTCGAAAGCATGGATCTGCTGCAGCCCTGACCTCGCTGCCAGTACAGCGGGGTGCGGGGTGTCATTACCGCAGCAATTTATCCCGTCCTGAGCCTGCGATGAGGAATGATTTCTCGCTGACAGACCGCATAATTCAAACAAGATTAGACGGATGAAACGCACACAAACCCAGGCGCGAGCAGGAGCCCCCCGGCGATCCGGGGAAACTGCTGGAGCTGCGACACATTTCACACTCGGCTTGCCTCCTGTCACCTGCAGTGATTTCAGGCAATTATGAATTGTCACAGTGAAGTATCCATCTTGTAGGTGACGGGCGCCAGAATCGGCCCAGGCTCTGACAATGCACTCGAGAGTTTTCTGTTCCCTTTCAAGCTCTGCTCCCCTCTCTCTGCTGAGCCAGTTCCATTTCTTGTGTTGGCTATACAGCCCAAACGACACCAGGAGAAAGCAGGAAAGGAAGGAAAGTTGATGGGACAAGACACAACCAGTTCTGATGCACTGCCGATCAACACATCAACGTGAGCCCCTCACGCTTGCAAGCAACCTCAGAGTATCTATATGGCATTGTGATGAAAACGCTTTATTCAAATCCCTTACACCATAGAAAAAAAGGGCTAGAATCATTTTCTTTTCCCCCATTCCCTCTAAACTTACTGAGCCAGTTCAATTTCTTAATTAAACCCACAAGATTTAGTAACCGGACAACAAAATGAATAGGGGCTCATTTCTCCAGACTTGCGTAACCTTTGTGTTTTACCTCATTTATAATTCAGTTGATAACTGATGTGCAATTCATGTTTCAGCCTGGCCGTTGCCTACTGTGGGCTCCACTTTTATTGCCTTTTTTTATATTCTCGCCACCAGCAGAGGTTCAAATAAAGCCGGCCGTCAAGTGTTTGTGTGTAGGATGCTCTTTGAGTGCATTTGACAAATGTTCCACTGCCACTATCTTGCAAATTAGCAGGGCGGGTAAGACAGCAGTCTATTTGAGTTCATGCTAATGCACTTAAGTACGCAAAACCTGAACGACCCATCTCCCTTTCCTCCAGCACCAGCACCTGTGAGGTAATCTACAGGAAAATAATGAGCCATTAAGTACCTTGTCATATAGCACAAATGGCAAACCTCAGTTTAAGTCAACAAATAATGGGGCCTGTGGGCATTGTGCAATTACATATGAGCACCAGCATAAGTGTGGTAGTGCCGTCCCTCAGAGGTGCTCAATGGCCATCAGTCCTCAAGCTCCACGTTACAGAGAAGAGTGCAGAAATGGGCAAAGCCCTGGTTTTTGAAGACTGGCCCCCTGAGACCAGACCTATGTGAAATCTGAAAAAGGCTGCTCTGTGCTGAGAGGTTATAAATGTCAGCGTCTCACTGAACCGGCTCATAGGATCTACAATAAAGATCACCTACTCCTATGATGCGGCTCCTTAAGTTACGATTTCACAGCTACGCGGAGTTGCAATACTTGCAGTCTTCTTAACGTTTTCCCTTACACTGGATTTCCTCTTTTCTGAGCAGAGCTGGAACAGAGACGACTTGCAGACCCAGTCGGTTTCCTGTAGGGAAAGTAATGTTGTCCTGTATATGCATGCTGGTATGGTCTGCAGGAAAGGAGAGCTTGCCAATCAAATCAGACCGCAGCTGCAGATGGTCATTTTTCCAATTCATTCGCGCAGAACGCCTTTTCTGCTATTTTCCTTCCTTACACACAGACATTTGAAATCTGAAGTGAGGCAATAAACAAGACACCGTGTAACGCTCTCCATTTGATCAAAAAGGAAAAGGCCGGGGTAATGAACCCCAGATTTCCAGGACTCTGAGATTCAGGATTCTGTTGAATAGGCTGTTATACCTCCAAACTGTAAACTCACACAACCCTTATTCTTATCAACTCTGAGATACCTGCAAATATAGATCACTCAGGCACAAATTAATCAACAATTTTCATGCAAGAAAGGAGACAATCACACCCTTTTTTTAAAAACCCGAGACACACTGGTGCCATTTATTGACAGTTTCATGTAAAAATAGATTTCAATCAAGTTACAAAAATGTTTTATGCAAGATGGCAGAGTTGAAGAAGAATCCTAAAGATCAGAAGGACAAAAACCCTAACAATCCAAGATCCTTGCTGAGGCTCTGCACAGAGAGCATAACAGTGCTAGAGGTAACATCTGGGATAAGGGCAGGTACAGGAGCTGGGGACAGAGAAAGTAGTAACCTCTTCACAAACTACCTTGGCACATGCTGGAGATAGATTTGTAGAGATCAACAGAAGTGTTTAAGCGGTCTTGGGATCAACAGACAGCAAAACCCTAGACCAGCACAAATTATCCAAATATTCCTATTTACGAAAAATGAATTGGGATAAAAATGCATGCTTTGGGCCTAAGGCATACAAAAACACCACCCCTAAAAACACTAAAAACAAGGAATTACAAAAACCATGACTGCAAGGTGAAAAGGCTCAGCTAGACAAGTTCTAAACCACACCCTCCAACGTATCAGCAAGAGCTGCTCAATTTTTCCCACTCCAGTTGTTTGGAAATATTGAGAACAAAGATGGACTCTAATCATATCTCTTTCACGGATGGAAAAGGAGAGTCAGAAGAAAATGCCATTTCTCCTACAAACAGTGAAATCTTTGGTACAGGGACATCTGGATCCCCTGCAGCCAAAAATGCCCACCCCCATGCCTCTCCACCAGGGGGCGTACCTTAGCCGCATCTCCACTCTCCTCTCTTCCTCTACTCAGCCCTTTCCAGGAGCTTCTCCGTCATCCTGGGCAGGAAAGACTCTAGGAAGTGGAACAAGTCCTGGAACAGGCCACTGGCGTCCTCCTCAGGGGTGAACCGGAGGACAGCCCTCGTATCTTCCGTGCCCCCCAGCAGCCCCACCTCCACCCCGAACTCCAGCAGCGCTGCCGCCGCCCCCCGCGCCCCGCCCCCCTCCTCCAGCGCAATGCGCTCCGTCACCTGGGTCTCCAGCTCCACGCCGCCCCCCTCTGGCTGCCCGTCCCCCGGCCCGCTCTTCAGCAGCTCCCGCCGCACTTTCCTGCGCCTGGCCCAGACCTTGTGCCACACCTGGCAGCGCCAGTTCAGCACCGCCAACGCGTCCGCAGGGTCCCAGCGCGGCCTCTTGGCAGTGCCCGGGGGCGGCGAGCCCTCCTGGGAAAGGAGCCGCCGTTTGGTGCCCTGCTGGCATTTGGCGTGTGGGCTGCTGTCACTACCGGGGGGAGAAACACAAGTCTCTCCACAGCCGTTGTTGTTGTTCATCTCCGTTCCATTCGCAGCCCCCTTCCTCGCCTCTCCCCACTCCTCTTCCTCTTTGCAGACAGCGGGGGCGTCCTGCTTTACCACCTCGGGGTCACTAACCTGCATTTCGTTTCCGCCCCCCACCCCGGAGGGCCCCTCTTCCCCCCTGGCTCCCTCCGCGCCGGAGCGGAGCAGGCCGCACGCGAGCACGCCCTCAAACACGCGCCCGACAGCCTGGCACACTTTGCCGAACCACAGATGGCGGAAGCGGTCGCCGGCGTCCTGCAGCTGGTGGCGGACAGCCTCGGGCAGCGAGGCCGGTCGGAAGGGGATGCTGATGACGAGGTCCTTCCCGGCGCCCCCCCCGCTGCCCGCCGGGGCCCCTCCGGAAGCTCCGCGGGGCGTGAAGAGCCGGACAACCCCCCACACCTTGCCCTTGGCGGACTTGCGCTGGTACTGCAGGCTGCGGCAGTACTTGGCCGCCTCCTGGCACTCCTGGCGGAAGCTCCTCTCGGTGCGCTCGTTCAGGTTGCCCGCGACGTTGTGGGAAAGCTCAAAGGGGTCCAGCACGGTCATGGGTCCCAGTCTGGGGCCAGCCCTGGCAGCGGAGCCCTCTGCTTCCTCCTCCGCACTGAGGAAGCCCGTGATTGGGAGAGCCCGGCCTTCACGCAGGGAGATGACGGAACCAGCAAAGTCAAACTGGCTGTAGAAGTTGAAGAAGCAAGCCAACAGGGAACCTGCAATGGAGAGTTCATTTTGCTCAAATGAGATCATAAGCATTGGAAAGCTCATATCATCAGATTAAGACACACATATAGCTGTCCATCAATGGTTATAATGCTTAAGGCCAATAAATCAGGTCTAGGATAGACCTGATATCTAGCTGAAGCCAAACTGCAAAATCTTCCACTTACAGAGATCCTCTGTGTTTTCGCTAGGAGGCAGCATGGAGGGGTCATTAGGAAAAGTGCAATCCCAGCCTTCGGTGATGCATTTGTCGGCCTCGCCTAGGAAAGTTAGAAACGATGAAGAGGGATCAGCAGATTAGCATTCACATCAGGCACTACACCAGCGACAATCAAGGGACTGAAAGGAAACGAGTCGAGCAGTGACCACAAGCGTTCAAACAGCACATCGAGTGGAGCCCACATGAGCACCGTAACACAATGCAAATACCTTTAAGACCTTAAACAGTTCACTCGAAGGAAAAGTACAGGACATCCATCCACAATAATATTCTCTTACGCTTACACTCCTTTCACTTCTGAACTATCAGTGGGGAGGAGAGCAGAGTGATGAAGCCAGTTCAGAGATGGGGATTATTAGGAGGCCATGATTGGTGAGGGCCAATGGGAAATTTGGCCAGGATGCCAGGGTAACACCCCTACTCTTTTCAAGAAATGCCCTGGGATTTTTAATGACCAGAGAGTCAGGACCTCGGTTTTATGTCTCATCTGAAGGATGGCACCTCTTTACAGTCTAGTGTCCCCATCACTGTACTGGGGCATTAGGACCCCACACAGACCACCAGTCATACCACTGGTGCCAGGGTCAGCCTGGTTCTTTACCAGGGCTGGTATTAATGGCACCAGTGTCTCACAGAGCCCCTGTCCGGAGCAGGTAACGAGAATGGCCGGGGGTCAGCCTGGACGTACCGGCGGCTGCGCTCAGGAGACGGACAGCCGGGAGAACGGGGGGATCCCGGTTCTGAAGAAAGAACATCACCAGCAGGGTCAGGGCGTAGTTATTGAGCAGGGGCCCTCCACCGAAAGGGTTTCCTGCAGAAGGACACAACCAGAAATCCGGGGATGACACAGGAAATGGATCCGGTTACAACTCTCTGATCCAGGGGGATTGCCGTCCTGGGCCTGCCGGACCACACACTGGCTGCTCTGAGTGCCAGCCGAGCTCTCGCTTAGACAGGCGAACCCCTGCGTCGGTTTAATAATTGATTCGTTTGAACAATCGAACCGCTTTCGGCTCCGTTTAACTGTTGTGTTGCATGAGCAAGTTCAAATCTTAAAGCTATGCAAGATAGTGGCACGTATTCCAATCAAGCCACTTGCTCTTGACTGCAAGTCTTCAGTGAAGTAACAGAGCCGGGCTGGAGTGAGAAGCAGCAGGCGACGGACCTGGGAAAACCTCAGCCCTGACCCACTTCATTATTCACCTCACTGGACTTCCTCGCCTGCTTTGGGTTCTCTGGAAAGTCGCAAACTTCCTAGTCAAATCCTTCAGACTTCTGGAGTTCAGAAATGATTAAATAAGGACTAATGAGCTAAACAAAAAAAGTTTGAGGTCATCAATAAACTGCTAATCAAACTGGAACAACATTCACAAAAACTAAAATATCACGGCATCCCATGGATATTTGAAAAACGTTCATATAGGGCAGCCCAGGCCCCGGAGGGCCGGTATCTCTGCAGGCTTCCTGGCCCTTCAAGTCAGCTCCTGAAGAGCTGGGAGAAGCTGTTCAGCTGGTTCCATTACGTCAATAAGCAGCTGATGATTTAAGATTTGCTCTATTCTCTGCATGATTCTGCCCAACGGAACCAAAGAGCCTGACTGGGCATTGGTAAGATAAGATGGTAATGATGCTAATTTTATCAGGTAGTGTCTCCAAAAAAAAAAAAATAGAAGCAAAAAAGCGTGCTCAGCAACTCCTGGGCAGGTTTTATAAACCAAACAGCGAAGGGAATCGAAATGCTCTGGCTCCCCCTGCTGGTCGATTCAACTACCAGACTGTAAGCTTACAGGAGATCACAGTTGTCCTGCTGCAGACAGGTACAGTACTTCTGGAAGAAAGCAAGGCACACTGACCAAATACTCCTATACATGTGGCTCCATCTAACTTTCAATGAAAACTGAAAAGTTAAAAAATTCCATTATTTGAAAGGAAACAGCATGATCCACAAAGCAACCTCGCGAGCAACTGCAAAGAACATTTATGATCTTGTTTACAAACTGCAAAAAAAGGGCCATGCATTATTTATGTTGTCAGCACTTAAATCACTTAGAATGATTCCACCTACTGCTCTTCTTCGCACTACCTCTGCAAAATCCCACCAGGCTTTTTTTAGGTTATTTATTTCCTTTTGCGGGAAACATCATGATGATGTCACTGTCATGCCTAAAAACAAAAGCACCAGCCAGCGCCTTACCTGCCAGCTGCTTCTGCTTTGCCCAGTACCTGATGGTGTACACCAGGGGCCTGAGCCTCTTGTCCAGTGAGCAGCACAGCTGGAGGAATCGGGTGTTTCTGACAGCCAGCCTGAGGGAGAGAACAGCGAAGAGGAGGAGATGTCACACAGCCCCATGTTATGTCCAGTCTGCTATTTTTAGCTCTTACTGCAGAGCTACAAAACCTCATGATGTACTGGGTCTTCTTGAAGCAGCCAGAATGCCCAGAGCTATTAGGACCAATTAAACACATGCCCATTAAACAAGCCAGCACACAGGCAGAAGACCCAGAAATACAGCTGCTACTGCTGAGCATGTCTGGAAGGCTTTAGGCATGCACATTAAGAGAAGAAATGCATAGGAAACAAGTGGAAAGTGATTCATTTGAATCAACCAAGATACTGTTAAGAGCATCACTCTAACGATGGTATGTTCATGCAGTTTGAGGACCAGATGCATTCCATGACTTGTATGGAAAGTTGCTCACAATAACACAACAAGAGATGACAGATAAGTCACTTGGTCAAGGACTGCACGTTTCTGAAAGATCCTTTTACGTGTAAGGATTAAGAGGTGCAGGCTTTGAATAAAATGCTGATCCTGGTAGACATGATGGTGATGTAGGTTTCTTGGCCCTTCTGGAGAAATTCTGGATGGTGTCAAGAATGAAACTGAGATAAGTGCTTCAGAAGAAAAAATAAAGAGTACTGCTGCCAGGTCTTCTGGCACTGGTACAGCCTGATCTCCTAATGACTTAATTTAATCAATAACAGACTTAATTGGTCAATTAGGTCACCAACGAACAGGCTTTCCTCCAGATCTTTTAGCTATGAGGGATTTAAGTCACCTATTAAACTTCAGGACAGTGGCACTTCCAAGCAAAGACAGCACATCCCGATGATCACTCAAAGACAATGTATTAATATTGCAACGCTTGACATATCGCTGTCTCCCACGATGCCGTTATCCTGGACCCAGGTCAGGGTGAGTCCAAGCCCTCCAGCTGACCTGTTGTTGATGGAGATGTCTCCCTGCAGCCCCAGGTCTCGATGGGTGAACTTGACGACGGGGCACCGCGCCGAGCTCACCGCCTGCACCTTGTGCACCCCAGGGACACACTTCCGCAGCACAGTAGCCACCAGATCCAGGACCTCCGCAGGAGAGGCCGTGGCCAGATCCATGTCCGACAGGATGGAGTCCTCGGAGCGTGCGTCTTCCCACTGTCCCTCTCCAGCCTGGCGAAGAGGACAAAGGTATAATAATAATGAATAATTGCTTACACTCCACTCAAAGTACTGTACAGATCCCCTCCACCACCACCACCAGTGTGCAGCCCCACCTGGATGATGCGCCAAAACTCTCCCCGCCCACCAGATCTCAGTAGGGAGGAGGGCAGAGTGATGAAGCCAGTTCAGAGACGGGGATTATTGGGAGGCCATGACTGGTAAAGGACAGGGGGACTGTAAAGGACTGTAAATTTGGCCGGAAAACTGGGGTAACACCCCTACTCTTTTCGAGAAACACCCTGGGATTTTTTAATGACCACAGAGTCAGGACCTCCATTCTATGTCTCATCCAAAGGACGGCACCTTTTTACAGTGTAGTGTCCCCATCACTATACTGGGGCATTAGGACCCACACAGACCGCAGGGTGAGCGCCCCCTGCTGGCCCCACTAACACCTCTTCCAGCAGCAACCTTAGTTTTTCCCAGGAGTCTCCCATTCAGATACTGACCAGGCTCACACCTGCTTAGCTTCAGTGGTCTGTCAGTTGTGAGTTGCTGGGTGATATGGCTGCTGGCTAAGCCATATATAAGCAGGGACAGTTCTTCATAATGGTGCTCGAGTATGAATTTTTTTGCAAATGCCAGAGGTAGAGGGTTCAGTGTGGTTCCCTCATAATTCTTGGGTCCTATCAGTGACTCTACTGCAGTGAGCTCTCCCTACATAGTTCATCACATAAACTGCTCTGGAATAAAAAGCAGTTGCTAAATGACTATTACTGAAATATCTAGTAATTCTTACTGTAAAAGGAATGCTTTTGTGCAAAGCAGCTGTACAACATAAGGAAGCATTGCGCTGCTTTGAAGCACAACTTCTTTCGACCGTCTCACGACTGATCTCTGCATGCAGAATGGATACCGTTGATACCTGCTCTGTGGAGTTCTTGGCTCTGGCTTGGAAGGTCTTGGTGTTCTCCAGATCCAGAAAGAGGTCCAAATCACAGGAATGAATATCAAAAGTGTTCACAGAAGAGCCGAAGGCCAGGATCTTACACTCTGAGAGAGAAATGCATGCACAGAGTGGATTATTGTCTATAACATCACATTGACAGAGTTTTATAGTCAGAATTCCAGAAATCACCTTTTAAAGAGCAACAGAGTTTCAGATATAAATAGGTGTGGTCTGGACACAAGATCATCCTTCAATCATCAATTTCTAAAGACCTGAAACACTTGAGTTTGGATCAATGGTTCAGTTAATCGTCAGCTGACATTATTCTAATAGATCTTCGGGGTGTTGGCATGTTCATTTTACAAGATCTAGAAAAACTGATTTGAACAAGCCACCTAGGTAAGCAGTCAAAACAAAATTGTTACTAGAGTTTGAAAACTGACAAACTAAGGTTGAACTTTTAAGCCTGCTGGATTGAGGCTCTCCAGGACCAAGACTGTCCAATCTTCTCTTCAAACCAATTCCTACTTTGTATTTTTCAGACGTGAAAAGGATATTTGAAATTGACTCGAAATGGGTAACTGAAATTTACTATAAATCTGGACCTTTTCTGAATACAGTAGGCCAAAGTGCATTTCCAAACACAAACTAAAAACTGTAATACAGACATGGTTGAAGCAGCAGGCATGTCTGCTAGGAATGAGAATAGCTGTAATGAAAAGGTTTTAGTCCTACTATGCTTGAATGAACTGGTGCATTCAAAGAATGCAGGTTTTCAAGACTTGCTGCACGTACTTTCTTGTATCATAGTGCACAGTTAAAGCTGGCATGGAAAAAACAGATCAGATCATTATTAATGATTACATGTCACAGGAAGAGATGAAACAGTTTAATTCCCAATAAAGCATCCGGTGTTATGGTAATAAGCTGTAGCACACCACGGCAACACCGAGTAACCACAAGGAAAACCCAGCCATGGACAGAGAGCAGGCAGTACCTGGAAAGAACTCATTGAAGACCTCCTGCAACAGCGCAATCAAAAGCTCTCTCGTGCTGCGCTCGCTGTCCGACAGCTCAAACAAGTCCACCAGCATCTGCATCTGCTCTGCCACCTGCCAGGACAAGCAGACAAGCAGAGAAATGATCTCCTGCCGCAGTCTGCACCGAGCCAGAGGGAGCTGGTAAGCCAGTTCAAATAACCTCCACTCTTAAAATGACTTTCCACTTACATGGTATCTCTTTTGCGGTTGGACAGATTGGGCAGGGACGGGACTGGCAAACGGGACTTGGCGCTGGAGAACGTCTCCGTTTCCTTACACAAGGTGGCGACGCAAGGATGAAAGAGCACACCAAACGTGACGGAGAAGCCTCTTTGCAAACACTAGGCCAGAGGCTGAACGTTCTGCTTCGCCAATCCATCAGAGAGACAGATCTCCTGGTATAAAGTATGCAGCAGGGCCCCAGGCTTGAACGCTTCATCTCCTCTGTACTGCAGCACACCAACTCTGCACAGCACAGCACCCAGGGTCTGAGGCCTGGGAGACTAACATACTCAGAGGAGCAAAGGGAAGTCGCATCACTGCGACACCTCGCTCTACCCAAAGATCCTCGCTGCCTGGTGACTGAAAAACAGGAGCTGCGTCATACCTTACCACAAGCTCACAGCCCACGTGCTCCCATCGCAGTCGTCTCTGCCGACCGATGCCCGGAGACGCAGGCGGCTTTCATCAAAATAATCCGCACAGCATGCGGTACACACTACCCCTCCTCGCTGGCAAATCCACGGCCCGGGTTACTAATTCTCTCTTTACATCACTCTTCCGCACTTCTGACACGAGACGCCTCTTAAAAAACAACTTGTCCTTTCCTCTGGCAACTCCCCAAACAGTCCAGAGTTATTTACTCACACCCTTTGTAGACTCTGATCACCCCACCGGCGGTGCCCACTCACCTGGTGTTATGAGAGATGGAGGAATAACTGACTCACAACTAGGGATCAAACTAGTTTCAGAATTCTAGGAATAGGTTTTAAAAAAGCAAATCAGAATTACAACAGCTGGGAGGTCTAGCTCTCAGCCAGTGCTACAGCGCACAGCTCTGTGCTGGCAGAATCACCATCTTATTGGATGCAAAGACTTAAGAGTGACAATTTACAGACACCTACACACCTTTACACTTCCAGGCTGAAAAGGGAGCAGTATAGCCTGTGTCTGAATTGACTTTATCCACCAGTACATTTTAACTGCCTCTTGCTACAACGAATGAGTACTGAATAAAAATTAAATGACTACACATAATATCACATGTATAGGTATGATTAGGATTCAGAATTTCCCAAGTTAAGAGTCCAACAACATACCTCTTGTATTGATACTCAGTTCTCTCTAAGTCTACACTAGACCCTAATTTGAGAAATTCCTCTGGGTTTATGGTGCTTATTATGACTGCCTGTAATTATTTAAACACTTGTGTACTTGTGGTTATTATTCATTAAAGACATATCCCTTCTGTGGAAAAGAACAGTCACTTGGTCAAAAGCCAGTGAGTAGAATATCTGGAATATATACAGAACATAGTCAAACCTAAATTGGAAAACTGAAGCACTAATAATTGAGTTAAACAAGCTTTGGAATAACAGTCTATCAGCATCACTTGTGAAATTGAAGAGAAAGTGCCTGGTGAAATCCAACGCAAAAAAACAGTTAATCTAAATGCAAGAGGTTTAGCATTTTTTTCCAACCAGAAAACTGCATTGGTAAAAGGTACATCATGTGATAAAAAAAGAACACCAAACATGTGTAACCCAACTTATAATTGAGCAGCAAAAAAGACTTGTTTCAGACACTGGTACCTATAGATAGCACTATACTGTAGATCCTTTTAGATCAATCATGTTAAGGTGGCCTGATGCAGAATCCAGCTGAGACATGAAGAGCTCAGACAGTGCGAATAAACAAAAGCTACAGCAGGACTGGAACCCGGCTGGTATGCAAGGAGAGAGAGAGAGAGACTCACAGAATTGGCCTGACAGAGGGCATGGGACAGCAGTTCGGGGCTCATCGAGGGGCTCTTGGTGACGTCCTGCTTCCGTTTGGGGACAAACTTGAACTCTTTGCTCTCCCTTTGCTTGATGCGCAGCCTTTGGCCCTCCATGCTGTGCTGGGCCTGAGACAGGGCTGCCTGCTGGCCCTGCTTGTCGCTGAACTCCACGATGGCATAGACACCCTGGGAGACACAGGTGGAGAGAAACAACAACCCACGTCCATACCTGGTCAGTCCCACACTCGACTCTCGGTTGTCCTAGAAACAGATTCTTCCCTCGGCCTTGCATTCCATGCCCTTTGCTTGGACATGAACTAACCCGTTACTAGACTTATGCTTTTTGCACATCTCTTGTTTTGTTCAGATGATACTCCTGCTTTCAGCAGATACCTGTAAAGGATATTTCTTTTGCCTGCATGACATCATTGTAATAACTTCTATTTAAACTGACATGTTAAGTGATGACTAGTTAGTTAATAATAATTCCTCACACTTATATAGCGCTTTTTTTGGACACCCCACTCAAAGCACTCCCCTCCACCACCACCAATGTGCAGCCCCCACCTGGATGATGTGACGGCAGCCATAGAGCACCAGTACACTCCCCAGTACAGCCCTCAGTGGGGAGGAGAACAGAGTGATGAGGCCAGTTCAGAGATGGGGATTATTAGGAGGCCTTGATTGGCTAGGATGCCAGGGTAACACCCCTACTCTTTTCCAGAAACAACCTGGGATTTTGTCATGACCGCAGAGAGTCAGGATATTTTATTTACAAAAACGCACCTTGTCCTTATCCATGATGACTTCGGACACGGGTCCGAAGCGTTGGAGATATTCCATGATCTGCTGCTGCGACGTCCCCTTTTGGAACCCGCTGACGAACACGCTGTTCTCCACCTGGGTCCGGCGAGTGTCCCGGACGGCGCACAGGTTCCGATGTTTACGGCCCTTCAGGTGGTCCTGAAGGCTTGTCCCTGCATAACCACACACGTTACACTCTAGATAAGCAGAAACGTGTGCAGATACAAACGAAACAGGAGACTTGCGCCGAAACAAACACGGGCATGCATTTCAAACACACGAACATGCATTAAAAAGGCTAAAGAAAGAGGAAAGCACGTACTGCCCAGTGTTACTGAAAACGCAGGACCAATACAGCCGCTTACTTTTATCATACACGGGCTGTGAGATTCCTTCGCAGCCATAAAACATTTTTTGAATCTATTCGCCTTAACAAAAATGAAATAAACTCTGTTTCTCAAACAATTATGCCACTGCTGTAAACTGCTCTGTAAGTAATGGTGCTGCGCAAACTTGACAAAACTTACTGTTTGGTACACTGACATCACACAAGTTGCAATGGAACCCTCCTTTCGGAACAGGCTGGATATCTGTATCTAACTCCATCTCGATCAAAAGCAAAATATAACAGAAATACGCTTAATCTCTTAACTAAATAAGGATTAAATTAAATCTCCCTCCCTTCCACGCACTCTCCCCTGCCTCATCCCTCCCACCATTTCGCCCCGGTATGGCAACAAAGATAGGAACTTTTAGTTCCGGAGGAACAAGAAGTCCACACGCGGAATTTGCAGAGTCCCACCGTACGAGGGAGACAAAGCTTTATAAAACCCAGCAATTCTCAGGAAATCTCACTGATGTTTTACATCTGCATGTTTTCCGTCTCACATGCACGGTGTATAACGAACAAAAAGCACTAACATATAAATACCACACAAAACAGTTTTATATACATATCACTGCGTCCTATCTGATCAGTTGAAGCTTTTTAAAAGAAATAAACCTCTACATTTTAAACAGCAATTTCAGGAGATCGCTAATGATAAATAAATGTTTGCTCTTGTGTTTCTTTTCTCCTTGTCTTGTACCATTAACATTTTATAAACATTATTGTTGTACAGAGGGGTGGCGGACTTTTTTTGTGTGATATCCAGGCACCAGCATCTCCGTGTAACGCAAACCACACTCTTTGTTTTCAAAGATACACCGGGAGGCGTCGTGGATCTGATACAAAATGGAAAAGAAAGCTCTTCGATTCCAAAGACAATTTCCTGTCATATAAGTAGTTGTGACTTTTTCTTCTTTGTGTGGGATCTATTTTTTCTCATTAAATGCTGCGAAGGGGGGGAGATGGGGGGTTGACATTTAGATTTGGCTGTAGAAATCTGACTCACTTGTATGTGAGTCATCCCTCACTTACGAATATAGCGCCTCCTCCCTCTGTTTGAGTCGGAAGTGTCCGCCGATGCAGACAATTTAGCCTCGACCCCGAGCAGTAGGCTCCGTGCCAAAGCCAGACATTAGATAATCATGAAATATACCATTTTCATTTTTGACATATAACATTTTCATATCATTGCTTTCTGATAATCCTTTACTTCTAAAATCGTTCAAACAAAAACATTTTGGGGGGGCTAAGTTAGACAAGGTGCAGAGTATTACGAACAGGCAGCAAAAAAACATTAAATACTGTACCGAGTAGGGACATTAAGTTTGAAAAAGCTGCTTTATGGAAAAAAAGGAATGTGTAAATGTTGACACGCCATTTTCATCTTCCAGACAAAGTTGGAAAGCAATACAAATCAAAGAGAATCTCATTATATATGTTAAATTAAAATTAAGAGATATCATTGCTAAAATTGTCACTAAGTTACAAAAGAGAGAGCTATTTTACAGTGTTCTCAAGATGTGGGAAACTGAAAAAAGCTTCTCGTCCTTTTACCGAGGTTAGAGGATCGATGAGCTACGAACTACCAGACGTGTTAGATTTATGAATGGGCTCCTCTGGTTTCAGACCGTTCCTAACGCTGTAAAGTGGGTTTGGTGATTTGACTACTCTCAAGGACACTCGGGGTTAATAACTTCGTGATTTTTGTTAAAGTGGAGCACAGGCTGAATTCACACCAGACACAATTAAGTTATAGGATTAAGATCAACAAAAACAAAAGAGTTTATTAGCAAAATATATAGTTCATTTTCCATCTCTCTTTGGACATAATTAAGACGGCAACACTTGCAGAAGTCTAGGTCATTTATCGTCTTGGGCTGCTACTCTTCTTTGTTTCAATACATAGAGCAGACGTCCGCAACGAGTCGAAGGAACGACAGATATCTTCATCTGCTTCCAAAGCACGAGAGCGCTACCGCCGGCATGAAAAGCGCCGCGTCGCCATGGAGACGGGTCCTCATCCCTGACTCGCCGGCTGCTGTCCGGGAGCGCTGTGGGTGAGGGGACTGAGGCGGGGTCATTCATCTCGGCCAGCCTGCCACAGAGACTGGCATAGGAAAACCACGCTAATGGGTGAAAACCATTAGTATGTGCGAGAGAGAGAAACAATTTACGGGCATCGTGCAGGACGCTTTTTCGTCGAATGGAGCAGAGAGTGTCGAGACGCTTTTGCGTGCACAACAGGGTGAAATGCATTTTAATAATGGAAAAACTTTCCCTCCGCACTGACCTAACGCCCTGTTTTTCTGCCACCATATCGAGTTAGAGGGTTGAATTGTAGCTACGCTCACGAAAGATGTTGAAGTGATCAGCGTGAAGGCGCTTTTGAGATAGTTTTCACCACGAAACTTTGGGTTGCAGAATTGTGTAAGAAGACTGAATCTACTCCGGTGATCAGACTTATTCTTTAAATAAACGGTTTTAGAAAGATTAATAATTTGATTTCTCTTAGCACATAATTCGTATCCCATATCCACGTCCTTTGATACTGCCAGAGGAAAAAAAAAAATCAAGGAAATGGCCTTTTTTTCAGTTATGTATCTACCTTAATGTTCTTTTCGATTTTCTCCTAAAAGGAGGCTTTGACGTCACAAAGCTGCCGTGACTCATTCTTTTGAAGAGCAGGGATGACGTCACCGCATCCCCGCAGGAGTATTGAGCTGTGTTGAATGAGGAAGCTGATGGAGAGCTTGTCAAGGCCCTTTTAACAGCCGCATGATGGGAACACGTGTTGCGTGTCTCTGTCCGCGCAGGCAAGGGCTCGCGGTGTTGCACAACGGTACTTAGAATGCCAGTCATGCTCCCGGCCCCGGGTAACCATGGCAACAAGCATCAAGCTGGAGAACGCATAGTGATGGCACCAATGCTTTCTCTCGGCCTCTGTCCTTTATCATTATGTCTCCATTCCCGAACTTATGTTCACAACTCCCTCCTTTCCCTCTCCCCCCCCAAACTTGTGTCGGCGGCGCGTCGTTTTCCGGCTCGGGATTCGTCGCCCGCTCCTCGGTACTTTTCATAATAAGAGAGCTCCGTGTCTCGAGGGGTCTCCGGGCCGCGGCTCGAGACTCTCAGTGAGACGTGAGACACAACGGGGGGACCGTCTGCACGGACAGGAGCTCGGCAGACTTTATAACTACAGGCGAGCATCTCAGCCACTTCGCTCCGATTAACATGACTAACAAATGCTGTCGTGGGCTTATGTCCAACCATGCAGCCGACAGAAACGCTCCAAAGTTCAGCAAGGTGGGAACCCTCTGACCTGGACCGGCCTGTGACTCGTGGCCGGGAGCATTGGAGAAGATTTAATTGCATGACTCTGAAAGTACTCCATCCCTGACCTCGAATCACAGCATATCCCCACACAGATCCTCGGGTACTGGCGTGAACTCGCACAACTTCTAAGCACAAGGTCTAAAGCTCGGAAATCAACTCAAACTACTGCAACCGGGCTCATCATGTTTCTACTGTTCTAACAAGTGCGGATGAGGCTAATGTCAGCGGGAAACGCTGAAAAAGAGATAGTGGATCGTGCCCGCTGTAAATCAGAAACACTGCGAGAACATATATTTAGCGCGCCTTGTGACGCATAAAATATGCTCACTCATTTCCACCCAAAACCCATTTCCATTTCCACAAAAAAAAGAGAACGTGCATCTGGTAAACGACAGACAACTGCCTTCAATGCAGCGCTACAATCGTGGAAATATATATTTTACTAGACGAGCATGAATCGGTGGTAACGTTCTCTCCGAACTTCAAAAGCCGCAGAGGTCTGCATCCGCGCCTGTGCCGAAACGCCGTGTCAACAGCGCAACATTTCGCTGTGTCAGACGTTGACTGGGGAGACAGACCACACGTCAGGAGCGCCAGTCGACGCGAGGTCTGCCACCATACTCAGGTGTGGGTTATCTTCCCACTGTAGGTTATTCAGTGGTTGCAGAGTCTATTTTTAGCACGCGGCCGGGGGGGTCACGTGACGGGGGAGTGACGTCACGAATGTTGTTGTTGGTGGAGGAGCTGCCAATATGGAGGAAAGAGAGCTGTGACGGGAACAAAAATACACATACATTTCTTTTTTTTTTTACTCCCCCAAAAAATACACACCAGCTAGCGCATCCGCCGTCGAAGATCCGGACATCTCCTACAGAAAGGCAAACGGGATATCTCCTTGATCATCAGGTAAAGATAGTTTGTTTACTGACACTCATTTTTTTCGGACCGTTCTTTTCAATTGCGAGTACTCGTAACTAAGCGGGTCGGTGCTACAAAAAAATGCATTTATTCAAGAAATGTATCTTTTAAGCTTTCACGGCCGCAGCGAGACCACGGTTTGTGAGTATTAACAAGCATTCGGGGGGGGGGACGCGTTTTCCCAGGTGCTGCCGACAGCGATATACACGGAGAAAGATAACGATTTGTTACAAAAACAGCGGTCATTTCCTTCTCCAGAATTAGTGCAATTTTTTAAAAGAATTGTGGTAGTGCGCTAAATACGACGCGGTGGGCAGTGCGGTGGTCATTTCTTCGAATGCCGAGTGACTCGTATTTGTATCGGCGGCGATGGCAAAAAGTTGAAGAAATATTCGACCGAGACCCTCGAAAGTCTAAGCAAGGAAATGAATTGACTGTAAATATGTTTTTTTTTTTAAGAATTAGTGAGAAAGGTGGACCAAATAAGTCCACCAGATAAGTGAGCAAGTTGCTGTGAGACCGGGCTGTGGTTAAAGATGTTGAGATGATGTTTGTCATGGGTACATAAATCCGAGTTCTCTGTGCAGTGTCTTCATCGAAGTGTTAACACTTTTTCCAGTTGCTGGGTGTTAGAGAAACGACCAGAAACCGGTGGATGCAAATAATATTTCTGCCTTCCTTGTCTCGTTCCTGCAGAACGAGCATGTTATCCGCATGATATCTGGATTTTTTTTTATTTTCAAGTGTCAGTATCTGTTTGTCTCAGTTGTTGCGGTAATTTTTAGATCTCTGGATTGCCAGACGTGACCAGGGGGGTCGTGCATGCGTTAGGAGCTCAGAGTCAGCTCGCAGAAGATGAATTGAGGGGGTTAGCCATATTCATCCATTCTGGGAAAACAGAACATGTAAACTCCACACGCAAGGATCCGAAGTCCAGACTCAAACCCAAGATCTAAAGACCACCTACACCTGCAAGATGCCCACTCCCGGCAGTTTTTAAGCATCATCTATTAAAATCATTTACGACACTCCTGTATGCAAAAACACAGCACAATATATGTTTATGTAGAGGTCACTGAAACAAATCCGCTTCAAGGAAATGTATCTATCTCTTTTGAAATTTGAATCTCCGAGGTTTTTTTTTAAGCACCGATTTTCTGACCAAGGTCTCACAAAGACTTCTGCACTTGAGAACGAGGGGAGTACAAAGCCAGTGTCATTTAGAAGAATCTGTTCTGGGCAGTATGAAAGCAGGATGGTGGTGGACACGCTGTGCTGCTGTTTTCTTTAAACTGACAGGGGAATATTTTGGAAGATACGGCGTCGCAGAAGTTCGTTACCTCTAGTGTGCCTGGTTTGTGTTTTCTGGACACTCAGCAAATCCTGCATAAACACAGGTCTCAGGCAAGCTCGGTATCATTGTAACTGTGAATTTCAGAGGCACCAAAAAAATAGCCACTTGTGTATTTACAGCTGTGTATTTTTGTATTTATTCACATATTAACTCAGTCACTGATTCAAAATGAAGGAGTCCTAAATGAAACAGACGATCAGCTACATCCAGTGTTTAAAATAGCCCTTGAGATTTGTGGGAGAGTGCAGATTTGCTAAGGAGCACCTAGAACAATCTCTTACTGTATATTCTGCTTCCGACAGAACAATAAATTGTCATCTCCACTGAAAATGCCTTAAATTGACCTCCAGAATTTTTGAAACTGACATGCTGTGTGTTTGGAATTGAGAAGTGTACCTGCTGTAGTGTTAGCTATGACCGTAAATAATATTATACCTCTGTACAGAATGAGCCTAGTTGTGTCTGTGTTACTGCTTTCCATGTCCATGTTGACACAGGATGGTTCTGTTAGTTTCATAGTAACATTTCATTCTGCTCAAAAGATGCTGCTCAAAAAAAGGAAGAAGAATTTCTATTTGAGCGCAAAGGACTCTGTAAGAGGTCAGTCTAGGATTCTGCTCTGAGATCAGTTTTTTTGCCTCCTGTCCTTTGGAAGCTGCTGTGCCTCTTCCTGCTTTATTCAGAAAATAAAGAAAAGAGATTTCAAATCCTGGTAATCCAATTGGTGTTTTATTGGATTTACAGTTGTGTTACACTACAGATGGAAAGAAGTCAGGCATTCGCAAGGCAGAGGTTAAATTACTTTATAGCATGTTTTTGATTATTTTTTTCGGATGCCCGTCATCTGCAGGGAGCGAAACACACTGTGCTACGTGATTATTTGTCTGCATAGATCTTTTTAGTCTGCCTCTCCTGCGATTACTTGGTAACTTGATTTTAAGCGCGTGTCCTGTGTTGTGTTGACTACTATTGTACTGATATTTTTCAGCAGTATAATCTCCCAGGATCCCTCTGTAAACAGGACCTGCGTCTCAGTGGGTTAACCTTCCTAGTTCAAAACATAGATCAGCACAGGTCTCTCTCACTGGCGCTGGTGTGAGACTGGTGCGTACAGAGATGAAAAAACACTCGCATAGCTGGGGAGAGACGTTCCTGGTTTAACAAGTTGCACGCTCTTGTATATAACCCTGTAACTGTTCGTGTTTCATGATGATCATATTTTGAGCATATTATTCTAGGTAGAAATGGATTTCACATTGTTTATCTACATTGTCAATGCACTTGTGCACAAGCCAGCCACTTCTAGAAACCTGAAATTTCTGTGTATGTGGATCACGGTGCTATGCAGTGGGAGCCTTAATTTCATCTCTGCAGGTACTGTAGGCTCTATCTCGGGTTTTTGTGTACACAAGAGAGCAATAAAAATGTTGTATTCTTGTCAGTGTTTATGTCCACTCTGCAATCAGATCTCTCTGCTCCACGGTACAGAATACACCGCAGACAGATGCACTGATCAGATGCTCTGACGTCTGTATATGTGTGACTTAAAAGTCAAAGGCTGCAGAAGTTAATATGCTGATCGGCCTTGAGATCACGCATTTATGTTTTCTCCTGCTTAGAAAACAAATTGGGCAGTTGTCTAGTAACCACACTATCGCTGGAGAAGACAGCTGCTGGAACAGCTCAGGGTGAAACAGCAGTTGATTCAGTGGCTTGCATTTGCAAAGGCATCTGAAAATGTTTAAACTGAATAATGAAATTAGCCATTTTCTTTGTAAATGGCAGGATGGCCTTGTAGTTCTAAGATAGCACAGGCATGTCAAATCCATTGATATATTTGTGTGTGGATTCTCAATGGGAAGGCACAGTGGTACAGTGTTCAGTTCCAGACCTGGGGTGCTATCCATGTGGAGTTTGTATGTTTTCCCCATGTTTGTGTGGGTTTCCTCCCACAGTCCAAAGACATGCGGGTAGGTTAACTGACTTCTGGGAAAATCGACCCTGATGTGTGTGTCTGTGTGCCCTGTGATGGACTGCCATCCAGTCTAGGGTGTACCCTGCCTTGTGCACGTTGCTTGCCTGGATGATCGGATTCACAGTGTAAATGTCTTTTGGCTGTCGGTGGTGATGTCTCTCTGTGGATTTTCGTGAAGCACTGCTTATTGCAAAAGGCCAATTGTATTTTAAGTTAGAAAGGAATATCTACTAATACAGACCCATCCCTTTAAACGGAGTGGCATGATCGCATATCAGGACCTGTTGTTTTTATTTAGTAATTAGAATCAATTCACTTCGTTTTTAAAGCATGGCTGGCAGTCTAACATTGTGGTCGGAGTAGAATGGTGTCTTTTTTTTTTGTTTTGGAAGCAAGGCTGCTGTTTCGAGCTGTTCGATGCCCCGCAGATTAAGGAGTAGCTAAACAGCGCAGACTCCCAGCCATCTCACTTGATTTCGTTTTGGCAGAGACGCAGCACAGCCCGCTGTGGCTCCCAGTCGTGTTTGGAGGCTTTGCGAGGGGAAACTCTCTCGATGAGGCCCAGTGGGGTGGCTGGGAAGAACGGACCAAGTGATGAGTGCAGAACCTTCAACCATCTTGGGACAGCCTGTCTGGAGCGGCACGCAGAACACAGCAGGCTGTGTGTGTGCTTGCATGCCTGTTGTTCTTTAGAAGAAATGCGAAGAGAGCTCAGACATCTTTCTCTCCCAGCTGGTGTGAAGCCCCGCGGCGAGGTTGAAGGGAAAGCCTCTGGGGGGCTAGTGGCTTGCAGGGTGCTTGCGTCCTGCCCAGCTAGAAAGCAGCGTGCAGCCAGTTGTCTGTCTGCAGAGGCCCGGGCAGTGGGGCAGCACGGTGCTGCCATTTGGCGGCCTGGCCGCGCCAGTCTCCCAGATTTGGAGTTCGGCCGGGAAAGGAGAAAGGAGTCTTCAGGGCAGCGGAAAGGCAGGCGCTGTTCTTCCGATTGCAGGGGAATCAAGTCAACAGAAACTCTGGGCGAAAAAAAACCCAACAAGCCCCAGCAGCAGTCTTGCCCTGTTCCTGTCCGCCAAGGCCAGGATAATGTCAGCCCGTCGAGGCGTTCCTTACTGAGAGAGAGCGCAGCTGGTGGCAGCTCTCCATGAGGCCAGGACAGTCACCTGCAGCAAGGGACATGCCTGGGCTTCGTGGCTGGAGTGAGGAGTCAATGACTGGATTTATTTTGGGCCTAATAAGTAGCGTCAACTGGCCAGCAGCCACATTGCCCTGCAGCTCACAGCATGCAGCCCCGCTGAAGCTCAGCAGGGTTGAGCCCGGTCAGTACCTGGATGGGAGGCTCCTGGGAAGCTATGGTTGCTGCTGGAAGAGCTGTTAGTGGGACCAGCAGGAGGTCCCCACCCTGCGGTCTGTGTGGGTTCTAATGCTCCAGTATAGTGGTGGGGACACTATACTGTAGTGGGTGCCGTCTTTCGGATGAGATGTTAAACCGAGGTCCTGACTCTCTGTGGGCATTAAAGATCCCCGGACATTTCTCGAGAAGAGTAGGGAGTTATCCCGGTGTCCGGGCTGAATTTCCCCCCTTGGCCTTTACCATGGCCTCCAAATTGTCCCCCTGTATGATGGGCTTGCACTGGCCCTGCGATGGACTGGCGTCCTGTCCAG